CTCGTTTTCAATTTTAAAAAATTCTAGGCAACATCATCACACACGAGATCTGAATTTCCTTACCAGTCCACATTACTTCAAAATGAGTTTTAACAGAAAGTTATTCATTACGTTCACTGGGGAAGCACACTCCCGAAACCACAAGTTTCTATCCCATCAAAACCTTTCCCTAAGTTACACTCAGCTCCTGCAGTATCAGGCCCCTGAGGACGACCGTATCTTGCTTGCAATACCACTCAGCTCAGGGAAATGATGCCTTTTAGCCATTTTTTAGTGTTGATCATCTCAAGTTCATAGCATATTGTACTTGCTGGAAAGGGAGGAAAAAATGAGGCTTCTATTCATTTTTTCCTTCAGCACCCAGTTGGAAGAAAGTGAGGTTATTAAAAAGCAAGACTAATCTCCCTCTGCCAGTGTTTTCATCCTAACAACAGCACTTTCTCAGTTAGAAACTTGAAAAATGGAGTGCAAAAACATCTTCTGAATACTTTATTCGCTTCTCCTTTTATTGTTGTTGATAACATTTTACACATTTCAAAAAGGAGCTCAAATTCATACCTCTCTCTCTGCTGTCATTAGATTTCCCTTAATGCAGAATTCTTTCCACATCGTCTCCCTTGGTGCTACTGCCCTTTCCCTTGTGGTCAACTGCTAAAATTCACTCTGCTTCCAAAATTTCAATAGGAATTAATTACGTTACAATTATACCTCAGGTTTTTATTTATTTTTACCCATCACATTTTCAATTTTCCCCCATTTGCAAAGGAAACAGAGGATATGAATCTCTTGAAGGAAACCTAATTATAGTGTAGATGCTTTGCAAGTTTGCACATGCCTTAAGGCACTGCAACACATCTCATCTAATCCAAGAATCTCATGAATGCACCAAAACGTATTTCTGATCATACTGAAAACTGTGCTCATTTAAATGAGATCCAGAAATGGATTTAAAAGCAATGGCCTGTGGATAGTTTCTGAGTAGGTCTGCTATTCATCAGAAAGGATTTTGCGAGGAAAGTTCATATTAAGCTGACAGGCCATATTCACCTCAAAAGTTAATAATAAAAGAAGTTATTTCATGAAAGTTTTGACTTTAAGAAGTTCCATTTTTTTCCTCAAGACCTTCCATCATCAAGATTATTCAAAAGAAACCACAAAAAGAGGGATCTTCAATGGAAGTCGACCTATAAAATGACAATTTTGTAAAAAGTTAAAAAGGAATGTTTTCATGAGTCCACCCACAGCCTAAATCAAAACACAAATCCACAGGCAGGACACAAAAAACTTGTTGAAACAAAGCAATATTAGTACAGCCCTCCATAAGCTGTGCTGATATTCTCAGCCATCCTATGAAGGCTGTGGCAGACATTCCACTTCAGAGGCCCTTTGATGTCTGGATTACTGAGGTACTCAGCCAGGGTAAGGACTGCTGCACTTGCTTTATACAAAACCAAAACGCACTTGTGCTCCAGCGCTTTTCCCACCCACCTAAATAATGCTTTTAATAGAAGCAACATGTTTCAAAAAATGATTTAAAGGATGGAATGGAAACTGCCAAATACACAGAACAGAAAATTACAGCAATCCCCAGGGGCAGCAGGAAGTAAAGAATTAAAAGAAAGAAATCTGAACCGACACACACATCCCTGAGGTGCTGCAGGCCAGGCTGGATGGGGCGCGGGGCAGCTCAGCTGGCGGATGGCTGCCCTGCCCACAGCACAGGGTTGGGACCGGGTGGGCTTGAAGGTCCCCTCCAACTATTCTGTGGTTCTTTGATCTAGATTTGTCATTTTTGACATTTTGACATATGCTATTTATTTTTATTGGATTAGCACGAACAAAATAAACTGCATTTAGTAGGTTAGGTATAATGAAATCAAACCTACAGCATGAACAAAATAAGACCGCATTTAGTAGGTTAGGTATAATGAAATCAAACCTACAGCTCATAAAAAAGATACTAAAGTATTCATTTTTGGCAGCCATACTTATACATGTACAAAGGTATGCTAAATCTTCAGGTTTCATAAATAAAATCTATTATTCTAGCAAAGTACTGTCTAACACAATGTCTCCTAATGTTATACCCAAAATGGGGACTCAAGGTGCACACAAGTTTTTGCACATTTACAATTACATGCAACAAACATTTAAAGGTCAGTACACCACATACAGAAACTGATCTTTATGGTCCAAATTCTTATACTATCTTTTTTTTTTTTTTCTCCCTCATCAACCACAGATGTGTTAATATATACAAAATAGCAGCAAATTTTAACAGCATCCTCATTCTGGTAATTGTATATAAAACTGCAAATAGTAGCTTCAGAAACAAGAAATTCAAACAAATCCAAATTGGAGTGCTAATGGCATGCTTCCTAACCACCCTGCTCACCACCATGTCTGAGACCAAAAACATGCATACAATGGAACTTCCAATAGGAAATTCAGAGAATGACCAGGCATCTGATCAGGCTTGTCCAGCACAGCCATGATGCAGTTCTGCTTCCCTGTGGTCACCGAGATTGTCGTCAAAGATCCAGACTCAGCAAAGTATCTGCTGTTAACTGCTGTTAACTTTTAGGGAGGGAAGTTTCATGAGACAGGTGAACTTTTTAGACACTACTGGGGAGGCAAAGTGAGAGTGGCCATGTAATTCCTTTCTATTGTCAGGCAGCTTGAATTTCAAATAATGAGGTTTTCCTTAATCCAGCCTTAAACACCCTTCAAAAACCCTGACTGTTCCCTTGCACTCTTCACGTAATCCAGGGCTGACAATTTGCCCCACTGATCGTGCAGTAAGTTCCAAAAAAGTACCAGTGACAAACCAATGGCTGAAAGCAGATACACTGTGATTCTCATCTAGCTATAATCTCTAAATTATACCCTGGAACTTCTCCATACAGTGTCAGTTTAACCAATCATGCACTTTCTATGCCCCTTAATGGCACACTAGAAGAGTGGTTCTTCTGATCCCCTGACAAGCTTAATATGACCCAAGAGAAGGGAGACCCTGCTTGCCTCTGCTTACATCAGACACACCAACAGGACTTGACATATTTTCCCAACTATTACAACTATTTCCTAAGCAGCAACAGCTTGTAGTCAGGAAACGTTGACATAAAGCATATCTTTGTAAAAAGGTACAGCAACAAAAATACATTCCCTCTGTGCTACTTTACCTTAAAGAACCTCTATTATTTTTGTCTAAAATTAATTGGAATTTCAAACTTGAATGCTTTTTAAAGTGAGGGTGGAAGATCATCTTCAACCACAAGAGTGGTGAGATAGCAGGGAAGCAAATGAGAGTCCAACAAAGGGAATTCTGAACTCCATCTATCAGCTTTCCAGCCATTTCAATTTCATCTTTTTTAAATATGGGAAAGTAAAAACTGAGGATACCAAACATTTTGTAAGATCACTTCAAAAATTAAATGACAATCAGGAAACTGAATGCTATGTCATGTACAAAGGGTTCACCATAAGGAACATTTTTTACTTCTCATTGTTAAGCCACAAATAAAAACTCTGAATGTGCAAGCAATTCTTGAATGCAGCTCTTAAAACTGAAGACACATTTCACAATCCCTCAGTAAGAAGATTTCTTTAAAAAATATTTTTCTTTCTGTCATAACACTTTTTTTCCTTTTTTTTTTTCCCTTTCTATTTCTTTTCCTAAAGAATAATACCTAAGTAGGAAGGCACATTTGAGAAACTTGTCACTTTCCACAGTTATAAAAAAAAACACCATTCCACATTTATGGTACGGCATATTCTGTTCATTTTATTTGTCTGGCTTTCAAAAGGAGGCTTTCTCTCTTTCCGTCGTATCTCCACAGGTGAAATATTGCTTTTCTAAATGCAAGTGAATATCTGATCAATGTTATTTATTCTCCTTGGCGCTATGGAGACGAAGATGCGCTAACAGGCCAGTTGATGAAGCATTTAATCATTAGAGTCTAGCACCAAACATAAAACAGCATCGCTCAAAGAATATGAATTTGACAGTAAATGGCAGATTGATATATCAGTCTCTCCTTGTTTTTCAAGCTGCATCTTTGAATTCTAATTCCTTTAAAATTCACTATAATTTTATCTTTTCTGTAGACAATAGATTATTTCTTTGCAGCTATTCTTAAATGTAATGCTGCACTAATGAAAAACAAGGTGAGATGTTTCTAGATCTCATGATTTCAAGAGGACTACAGTGGCAGATTTTCAAGTTAAATGTGTGAAGTATGCTTTGACTTCAGCTGGATACTCCAGTGCCCAAATGTAACTTGAAGATTCTGTAAATGCTCTCTGAACAGTTTTGTTCAAACGGAAGCCTTAACTGAGGCCAGAACATCCACCATCAATCACTAGCAATTAGTGGATAAAGGCAAACTGGATTGGCATTTGCAAAGCAGGGAAATAAAACAACAACTTTTAATGCTTTGGAAATTAGAAGCTTTGAGTATAAATTAGGTCAATAATAAAATACAGTCCCACAATCTCACATTTACCCGTAACAATGAAAAAAAAAAACCCCAAACCAACCAAACAACAGTCTAAATAACAATGACACAAAAAGTTAGCACTTACGCCTATCTGAAATGCATTACTGAATGTTGAGTCAGGGTACTCTAGAAACACTGCAGGTTTTTTCAATTCCCCTTCCCCCTGTACAGCTGTATTGGGAAAAAACAACCAAACTTCTCCTTCCCTCCAAACAAACCGTTAAAACCATAAAATAACACTGCCACTGAACTCTTCCCCAATTTTAAAGCTGTAATCAAAGATGCATTGTTATAAACATCTGTTGAATAAGGCTTTGAGGCAATTAGCTATTCACAATGTCAGAGCAGTCCTTCTGAGTCCTATGTAACACTGAAAATACCAATGCACTTACATAAACCTGTGTTGCACCTATTTCATAATATATTTAAGTATACTCATTGAGCAATCTGTATCAAGCATCTACTTTTGCACTTCAGTAACTGAAGAAGAAATTAACTTACCCTGTGTTTTTCCTTAATTTTCTTTCTGTATTCTTCTTTGTCAAATTTGTCTTCTTCCCGCAGTATCTCTCTCACTTTATCTAAGTTGATACCAGTAGCATCATCTTCTTCATCTGTTTTTGCCAAACTGGATTTTTGCACAGGTGGCCATTGCTGCACTAACTGAATTATACGCGACAAGAAAAAATAGTTAGGAATGTTTCTTAACAATAAAGTTCTTACGTCCTAAGTAGTCCAATACATTATTTTCTGGACTAAACAAAGATTATCACAGAATCATTAAGGTTGGAAAAGATCTCTAAGATTATCTAGTTCAACTGTCCACCCCCCACTAATACTGCCCACTGAACCACTCCCTAAGTGCTACATCACCACTGCTGAACACCCCAGGGACGGTGACTTCACCACCTCCCTAGGCAGCCTGTGCCAGTGCTTCACCACTCTTCCTGAGAAGAAATTGTTCCTAATATCCAATCTGAAATCCAATCATTTGCAAAGGAAAAAAACCCAAGACTCTGTACAATATAAACTCAGATACTTCACTCAAAATCACATTCAGTTAAAAATAAGTATTTGAAAATGAAAACCCTCACTACATTGTTACTGCCCAATAGATTTACTTGAACTTTTTCCTGTTTTTCAAAAATTTGTGGAAAAAAAACCCACCACATTACTTGTGCCTAATGGCACATTTTGGGAGAAAATTCATATTTGCTTTCAAAAAATGACTCTCCAAAATACAAGCAGCAGAACAAAACAGCGGTCAATTTAAATAGTGTATCTTCAAGTAAACAGTTAATATTCCAACATATTAATGGAGAGAAGAAAGAGAAAAGTCTACATCACAGAGTACATGAGAAATCATAATTGTTGTTCCGTATTTTTAGGGAAGCGAGGAGAACAGATGAGGAGGTTTATACTGGTTGTTACATGAAAACTTGAGTGCAAATGTTTTAAGATTGAAGTTTCACTTGGGGATGATGTGACAAAATTCAACATCATTTGAATATCTGAAATTCTAAACAAAAACTACAATTCACCAAAAAACACCCACACCTATGACATATGAGCTTATGGTAGGCAAAGACATCTTTGTAAGAATCATTCTTGCTTAATAGATTTACAGAGAACTAACTCTTAACAAATAAACCAAATGACAGAAAGTACAGAATGTCTTTCAGGTAGCTTATAAAAACAAAAACAATGATGCCAAGGCATCTTTAGGGCTTCCCAACGTGCACCATGTTATTCACCAAAATGTCAGCAATCCCAATCTGTTTTCACTCATAAAATTGAGCTTCTGTGATTATGTTTGATAAGAAGATGCATTTCCTGAAGGAAATTATTTTTAGCAAAGACAAGTATGCAGAACAGTAAAACTTCTAAGTGCAGCTTCTTACTGCCCATAAGTCATGTTCACTGTATAGTTTCCTAACCATAATTCTTCTCCTACTTTTTACTTTACATCTTTTCTGCTTTGTTGCACCAACACATGAAGCATTTGTATGTGTAATTTAAGAACAGAAAACTATTTTAGAATATCTAAAAATATGTGAGTGCATGATTTCTAGTCAGCGGAGTAACTTGTAAAACATTTTAAATTGTGACTAATGCCATTATTTATATGGCTATAAAATTATTTCATTTGATCACAAAAACAAATGAAGTGCTTGAAATTGATCTACAGTTTAAAAAAAATTTTTAAAAACCACTACATTTTTTTCAGTGTTTGAAATGGAAAAACAATGTACATATTTGAAGCTATTTGAAGTAAAATAAAATGTTAGAAAAGTTTGTGAAGACTTCCTTGTGAGGTTATCACCTTGTGAGGAAACCCAACAGTGACTAGCAATCCACAATCACTCCTTTCTGGACCAAATCAATACATTTTTCCAGGGGTTATGAAAAGATCCAATTATATCACTGGCAAATTTTGATACAATTTTACATCTGCACCAGTAGGTGGAAATTTGGTACTCCCTTAGGTTTTCAAACAATATTTTCAATCTAGAAACAGTGAGTGTTGGAAAGAATATCACAGACTCCTAAGGTTTGCACATTAACTCAAGACTTAGGGAAGCTTTGGCAATTACCTGTAAGAAAACAGCATTACATTTCTGTAAGGAAAAGCTCAGTTCTGTATTCCATTTAACCTTGAAGATAATATGCAGGAGCAAAGTACAGACAGGTAGATGTACTAACTGTTCTTTTCCAAATACCTTAACACATATAACTGTGAAACGACATCACTATACAACAACACCTCTCTGTTCCTCAGAGGAAGTGAATAGTTTTGCAGAACTTAAACCAATAATGAAAATGATACACTTCTCAAAATAATTTTTTATATACGTACATATATACAGACTACAAGCATTTTTGTCTTTATAGGAACTACAAATTCAGTTCCCACCAATATAAAGTTATTCTGAATTATCTTACCTCTCCATCTTCAGTAAAAACTATTCTTGTGTTCACTTTAAATTTCTTCTTCAATATCTTTTTGGCTTCTTGAGTCTTAGTTGTTTTTTTCTTCATCTTTGAGTTTGATGCATTCTGTATAAAAGAATAAACACAATTTCTTAATGGGTTTTCTTTCAATGGGTGGGAGGGCATCAAAAAATATATGCCTTGAACTTTCTTAAGAGCAATTAGACATATTAACACGTAATTGTTAGAAGGCACAAACGCAAGAATGATGCCCAGTGAACAGCAGCTAACAGCCTTTTTCAAAATCCTCTTTTTCTATGAACATGTTGTTTCATGAGGAACTCATTTATTCTGTTAGAAACTTAGCAAGCTTTAAATCCTACTCACAGCAGGGCACCAGACGCATCCAAACCTCATGAACCTTTCTGGGACAATGACACACAATTCACCAGCTCATGCTGTCAGTGTGCAAGCCTCACCACAGCAGAAATGCTGTATAAATGACTGAAGTCACAACTGATCAGATCACTTTCATCTCACCTGTCACTAAGTGATCAAAGTAACACAGCAACTTGAGTAACTTCTGCATCAGTGAAAGGCAGAAGAGGTGATGCGGAAACCTTCCTATTTTGTAACTCCTGGTCTGCAATGTGGTGGGATGGAAGGTATAAAAATGCTGAGATTTTGGAAGTAGTTTGCAACTGTAGGAGACTATTTTAATTAACTTATTTTTCAATGCTTTTTACAAAAGTAATGTCAAGTCCCCAGATGGCTCCTAAGAGTTTCCAACATCCATCTCTGTGATGGTAGCACAGAACACACAACCAAAGAACACAGAGATTCCTGGACTATGACTCTTTTGCCAAGAAGTAAAAAGCCATACCTATTCAGGCACCTAAAGTGATGCAACACACAGAAGACATTTGAAACAACAGCTGCTATTGCAGCAAGTATTTTATATTTCCACTGGAATACATGCAGAATGCTTAGGGGAAGACACACAGCCCATCTTCATTCTGCAAAGACTTTCTTGCATGGTGGAGCACTGCAAAGTGACTTCCTGAAAGCCAGCCTGAATTTCTGATAGGAAATAGAAAGTAGCTAAAGCACCAGGGAGAAAACAAACCCTGAGGAGGTCTCTCTCCCTCTCTCTTTTTTTTTTTTTTTTTTTTAATTTATTTTATTCTGTTTTCTATTCTACATCAAAAGAAGCAAAAAAATTAACTCAAAGTCACACTCATTACAGTCAGCCCACTAATACACTGAAGTATGAACTACAGAAGAGAAGAATCAGAGTCTTCTTAACAGGAAAAACAGCTTGTGACAACTGCTGAGCTAGGCTATAGGTAATGACCATATCCATTATAGAAAACTGTAACTACAGCAAGACCTGCATCCTCAGTACTTCACAGGACTTTTGTTGTTCTGTGCAGGCACCGCTAATGAATGACACACACCTTCAACAGCTCACAAAGCCACACTATTCCTTCACTCGTGTTGCTTATCTTATAAACACAAACCATCTGAGACTGTGCAAAACCATAAAACCCTCATCTCTAATGAGCACATCAGCTCATTAATAGAACAACAGGAATTGTCCAGGGCAAGAACTTAGAGGGATTGCTTGATAGCTGGTACAGTAACGTTTCTTACTACCAAAACCTTTTTTTTTTTCAACAGTTGCTTTTACTTCTGTTTCAGTTTTTTAATCTTACTGAATTGCCTGTATTATTGGTACCAACACAGTATGTCGATGAAAAAAGATTTTCTAACTAAAGAGGACAAATATTGTTATCTAGCATGCATACAATGGCAATATTTCCAGTTACATCTACCTCTTGTCCATCTCTGTGAGATTTTGAGAAGTATTTTGATGCTGCAAAGTAGCACAAAAACAAATGGGACAGGTCAAAATTTCCAAACAAAGAGGAGGAAGGAGAAGAGAAGAAAACAAATGAAAAATTAAATTCCAAAACTACACATTTAAAATGCACAGTGTAAGACTGGTGGCTGAATTTGGCAGATGTATGACTGAAAGGTAAGAGACAGTGATTAAAAAATGCAAAGAGCATCAGAAAGAAACTCTGCATACCTTATAGATAACTAAATTGTACTCTCTATTGGGACACATTTTTTAGTTTACTACACTGAACACACTTCAAAAGAAGATCTCCTGACAGCCTTAGTTTAATGCCAACTAACAGTGCAAAGATCCAGTGGGCTCATATACCAACACATTTAATCACAGAATTAGGCAGAACTTTTTGAATGACACGATCTGCTGTTCAGCAGAAGTGTCACAACCTGAGATGGAGGTCTGGCAGGTCAGTGCAGTGGTTGCTCTCACAGCCTCCCTGTCTCACATGGTCTGAATCTCCTACATTGTTCAGACGAGTTGGGCAGGTTGGCTTCAAGGAGCTACCATGAGGTGACATGACCATTGCTTCAGTCCTCCTCTGGGGACATCTCTTGCATACCTCTGGAGTCCCTACAGCCCTGCAGTCTTTCTGCAACCTAAGTCCTTCCCTGCATGCATGCCCAGAATCATCTTTCAGTGCATCCAGTCCTCATTTCTCTTGTGCCAGTGGCTGCCACTGTACCTTGAGTGTGTTTGAACCAGGAGTTTCTCCAGGCAGCAGCAGATCAAACGTAAGAGGGGTTGTTTCCATCACAGAATCATAGAATGGCCAGGATTGGAAGGGACCTCAAGGATCACGTATCTCCAACCCCCCTGCCACATGCAGGGCCACCAACCTCCCCATTTAATACTACACCAGGCTGCCCAGCGCCCCATCCAATCTGGCCTTGAACACCTCCAGGGATGGACGGGGCATCCACAACCTCTCTGGGCAGCCTGTTCCAGCACCTCACCACTCTCTCTGGAAAGAATTTCCCCAACATCCAACCTCAATCTTCCCTCCCTCAACTTAAAACCATTTCCCCTTGTCCTGCTGTTATCTACCCTTTCAAAGAGTTGATTCCCCTCCTCTTTGTAGGCTCCATTTAGGTACTGAAAGGCTGCAATGAGGTCACCTTGCAGCCTTCTTTTCTCCAGGCTGAACAAGCCCAGCTCCCTCAGCTTGTCTTCATAGGGGAGGTGCTCCAGTCCCCTGATCATCTTTGTGGCTCTCCTCTGGACCCTCTCCAACAGCTCCCTGTCTTTCTTGTACTGGGGGCTCCAGACCTGGACACAGTCCTCCAGATGGGGCCTCACAAGAGCAGAGTAAACGGGGACAATCTCCTCCCTGTCCCTGCTGGCCACCGCTCTTCCACGCTTATATGGAGCCCAGGATACCATTTGCCTTCTGAGCCGCAAGAGCACACTGCTGGCTCATGTTAAGCTTTTCATCCATCTGGACCCCCAGGTCCTTCTACGCAGGGCTGCTCTCAAGGACCGCTCCTTCCAGTCTGTATGGATGCCTGGGATTCCTCCAGCCCAAGTGCAAAACTCTGCACTTTGCCATGTTGAACCTCATCAGGTTCACCCAGGCCCACCTTTCAAGCCTGTTGAGGTCCCTCTGAATGGCATCCCTTCCTTCCACCGTGCCAACTGCACCACTCAGCTTGGTGTCATCACCAAACTTGCTGAGGGTGCACTCGATTCCGTCATCGATGTCATTGATAAAGATGTTGAAGACCTCTGGTCCCAGGACAGACCCCTGGGGGATGCCGCTCGTTACCGGCCTCCAGCTGGACATAGAGCCATTGATGACCACCCTCTGTCTGCGTCCTTTCAATCAATTTCTTATCCATTGAGTGGTCCACCCATCAAATCCACATTCCTCCAATTTGGAGGTAAGGATGTGGTGGAGGACCATGTCAAAGGCCTTGCTCAAGTCCAGTAAATGACATCGGTCGCCTTTCCCCTGTCCACTGATGCCGTCACTCCATTATAGAAGGCCACCAGATTGGTCAAGCATGACCTTCCCCTGGTGAAGCTGTGCTGGCTGTCTTGGATCACACACTCATTCCTTGTGTGATCAAGCATGTCATCCAGGATGATCTGTTCCATGATCTTCCCAGGCACAGAGGTGAGACTCACCAGCCTGTAGTTCCCGGGGTCCTCCTTGCTCCCTTTCTTGTAAATGGGAGTGACGTGACCCTTCCGCCAGTCATCAGGGACCTCACCTGACAGCCACTTTTCATATATGATGGAGAATCACTTCAGCTCATAGCCTCCTCCCATTCCCCCCACCACCTAAGCCCTGTCATCTATACCCAACATGCTCCCTTCACCCAAAGTCTTACAGTGCTGGACTCTGCTGTGACCCTGCATTTGAACAGCTACATAAAAGCATTCCTTCCCCATCACAAAGGGTTCTGGTGCATTCACTCGCTGTAAGAAGCACGTAAGCAATTGGCAGACCTCCAATTTTCATAATTTTCTGTGCCAATTGGTTTCTTGCATTGTTCAAGGTATTCTCTTTGTTCAGCTCCCATTTTCATCTTTCATACTAGAAGATACCTGGCAATTTACAAGCAGCAGCTTGGCACTTAATCCTCATTCTTCATGGCTTCATCTGTTTTTTTCACAATGAGTTCATCTCACCAGCAGCTGGAGGCTGCTAAAAGACCTCCTCTACCTGTTTAACCTCAAGTGCTGCAGAGAACATGGTTTCAGCAGGGGCAATGACTTCTCTCTAACTGCTCATTAAATAGAAAGCTGAAAGCTGAGGTTACAGGCTGTGCCAGCAGAAGCACTGTCACACCAGCAGGCACGGGTGAACAGAAGGATTCTGCTGACATCTAGACTTTGCTCCTAACAGTAGGCCACAGAACGTGGCTGGGCATTTTAAGATGAGCTGAGAGCTCAGAGCAGGTCCCCATACTGACCTGCTCACTCAAAAAATACCGTGCATCAAAATCTGCTCAACCAGTATCTGCCTCAGTAAACCTACTTCTAAAGCTACATTACACCATCCAATAAGCCAAATGGAAACACAGTGAGCATACATGATCTGGGCATAGGGTTTACATTACTGTTAGATGTTAAACAAACGATGCAGTTGAACTCAAGTTGGCAACCAGCTGAAACAGCAGCTGCCATATGCTTCCTTTGCACTTAGAAGCAGCTACCATCTGTTACCAACATGGATAAGACCCTCTAGTCTCAGGTTTTCGTCCAT